AGAAAACCTTTTAAATTTCTAAAATAGAAAATTAAAAAAAAAAAAAAAAGAGGAAAATTCTAATGATTTTTTTTTTTTTATAAAAAAAAAAATAAAATAAAAATTATAAAGTATAATAAAAATAAAATAATTTTACCAAGTTCATTACAAAAAAAAAATAAAATAAAATGTCAGTGACTTTTCACATTATTGCGAGTATATAATTAATAGTAAATAAAGTAAAATGCATATGAAACTATTGTAACATTGAACTTTTTTTTTTTTTGATAATACACTGACCATTGGATTAAAAAAATACATGTAAATTTGGGGTTTTAAATTTTGCCCTGCAAAACTAATTCTATACTATTATTAATAAATTCTTTTCGATTTGACATATCCATGCCAAAAACTATTGCAAGTTGTTCTCGCACTATAAGGAAAAAAATAATTAGATATACTGTATAATAATAATAATAATAATCGATTAACTTGAGAAAATCAATTAAAAGCATACCTTGCTTCTTTGTAATATTCATTAAATTGGCAGTTGATAAAATATTCCTAATTTCCATCAAGATTTCTTCATCTGTTGGTCCATCATAATATGAACCTATAGGTCCTTGTGGTGGATATATATCCATTTCTGAATTACTTCTTGGTGCAGATATAATTGAATTTCTATAATCAGGTTCTCCAATTGCACTAAAAACTCTTGAATTTCGACCTTCAGATGGAGTATATCTTGGAGCTGGTGACCTTGATCTACCACGTCTATCAACAGGTGCTGTTAAATTAGTATCACGGAAATAATCACCATCATAATTACTTCCACCATATTGACTACAATTTTCATAATTTCTTTGACTACCACGACTTCTATATGAAGCAGCACTACTTCTTGATTTTCCAGAATCATGTGATTCAGATGTATTAACTTCCCACATTTCTTGTTCATAATCTGCCCATTTCTTCTTTGGTATCATACTTTCATCGAATTTTTCTTCATCAGTTGTAATAATTTGTTTTTTACCTTTCTCACCAACTACCATACGAGTATTACCCCAACTAAAATCATCAAAATGCCAAAATGCATAAATTGGAATAAAGAAAGAAAATAATGGATAAGCTAATAAATAAATTATCATCCAACCAATATGTTGCCATTGTCGTTTAAGAATGAAAATAATAGCTTGTAAACCATAAACTGCTGCCAACATAATTAAAGCAATCATTGGTAAATTTTGACGTTTTGTAACAACAGCAAATATAAGATAACCAATATAAACTACAGTAGATGGAAGGATAAGTGTACCAAAAAGATCAATAAATACAACAAATCTCATTGAAAAACAACAAAAACCACACATTTCTGGTAAAAACATAAGTTCCATAAGATTATGAATTGTAGAATTAATCCAACGACGACGTTGTGAAAGTAAAACAGCCCATCTATCAGGTGCAGCAGTTTTACACATAGCATCTGGTGTAAATGTCATCTTATATTGAGGGAAATGTTTCATCATTAATGTTGTAAGATAACGATCTTCACCAAGTGATAATAAATTCTTCTTATGTAAAGTATCAACATGATTTTCTGAATATTCTTCAATAACGGTAGTAGATATGATTAATGGATGATTTTTTACAGGTGTACGAATTCTATACATACAAAAACAACCAGGTAAACAAGTAACTGATCCAAAAAGTGATTCAAATGCTTTAGCAAGATGATGAGAAATATAATATTCATAAACTTGAATCATAGTTGTCCATGAACCTTCTTCATTAACTAAAGTAGTTTCACCACAAATACCAATTATACGACCATCGTGAAGCATACAAGAAATCATACGATTTAATGAATCAGGCATAACTTCTGTATCAGCATCAACCATAAGAACATATTCATAAAAACTTGGATTTACTCCTATAACATTTTTCATTTGATGATAAATTTCTAATTCAAGTGGTGTCATTTCAAGTTCAAAATGAACTCTATTTAAAAATCTCATAAGTATAATTTGAGAATCACGTTTTCCTCGATTTCCAGGTCTATTTTTTTCGGTTGGTTTTCCAACTTTAACAACTACTATATAAGGTACAACATGTCCTTCATATTCATAAAGACCAGAATAAACTTTTCCATAATTCATTTGTTGAGAAGCTTCACCAACTGATTTAAATGCTAAAGGTTCAGGATCTATTTTAGGATCAACACCAAGAATATCTAATACAATCCTTGGTGTAGGTCTATCATTACCAGAACCAACGATCATACCATCTGCAATAAAGAATAATAATTTCCTTTTATCATCATAAGTTAAAGCTGCTAATGAATCCATAGTACGTTTAAGTGAATCTTCTCCTTCAGTATAACAAGGTACTTGACATATAACGAATTTATCATGATCTTCAGGTTTACGTCTTGCTCCTAATTGTAAAGCTGCCAAAAATTTGACCAAAATAACTGAACACATTACACAAGCTGCAACTAATAAAATATAATTATTAAATTGACATCTAAAACTTTGTCTAAAATCCATTTCACCAATATAAAAAACCGAATTAAAACATTGCATTAATGAAGCTAATCTAGTTGGATTAAGTTTTTTAAGGTTGTTGGTAATATCTTTTCCATTCATATTTGTAAGTAAAGGTTCAATTATACTTTCTCCTGGTGAATCTAACCAATGCCAATCAATAGATCCAGCAGGTAAAGGACTAGTATAACTAGGTTTTTGAGGTTGTTGTTGTTGTATTTGAGTACCAAAATAATCGGTAAAGTCATAAATTTTATTATTAATAGTGACTACAGTACGACCTGCTGCATATAGACTCGCTAATTGTTGTTTACTGTAGACAAGATTGGCTTTAACATATAAATTCATGATAGGTAGGAAATGATCAAAATACCATCTTGTATCAGAAAGTTTTGTGGAAGGATAAAGTGTTTTTGAACCTGAAGTATGAATGAACATAAAACCGGTTGTCGGATCGGAAAGATTTAGATATGTTATTGAAACTTGATTATCAGTAACCATACTACCACAAGTTTCTGGTTGAGCTAAAGGAATAGGAATTGAAGAAGTAACATCTAATCCAGCATAAGGTTCCATAGCTTGTGCATCAGCAGGTGGACCACCGCCCGGAGCATGATTTGTTAAATGGAATGTGCTAAGATCATATACAATACCCCTTGCACTGACCCAAAAATCGCCATCACCTTTATGAAAAGCAACTTCATTTGAACTATATACTTTGTCAGTACCAGGACAAATAAGATCACCAAAGGCAATAATGTAAAAAATGATGAAGGAAGAGAGAAGGAATATTATAAAACAAAGTGTGACTTTTTCACGCCAAGCCATTTGTACATCAGGACGTTTCATTTTTCCAATCCATCTTAATAAGAATGAAGGAATCCACCAAGTAACTAGCCATACGAATATAACCCAAATTCTACGTGTTTTGGTGATAGTTATTTCTTCTATTTCTTCATTTTTTTCAACTTCTTTAATTCCTTCTTTATTATTATCACTAGAAGGAGAATTACTATATAATATTCAAAAAAAAATAAATAATAATAATAATTTGTTAAAAGGATTTTTAACGATTTATATATATATATATTTATTTAACGATTTATTTTTACTTACCCATCACCACTTTTTGCTTCCCATTCACTACCCCACATACTACCTTCTTCATCTTCACCATATGTCATACCACTATTTTTTGAATATTGATAATCTTCTTCACTTCCAGCATAACTTCGAGATTCATCATAATAACCTAATTCACTACTAGCGTAAGCAATACCACTTCTCGGTATTAAACGATCCATTGAACCAGTAGCACTAGGTAAAGCTAAATTACGATTATCTAAATTAATTCCACCACCAACTGTACTATCATCATCTTTAAATTGTTTTGTCTTTAATCTTTCATCTTTTTCAGCAGTTTTTAAAATATCTTCCAAATATTTCCAAGTAAATTCAGATAAAAAAATATTTTGATTACCAATAGCGTAACTACCTTCAGGCCAATCATTATTTAAAGCAAATTCTTCAACTTTTTGACGAATATTTTTTGAAGAAGAAGAAGAAGAATCTAAATTAAAAGATTGAATAATTGATTTATAATGATCTAAAAAATCTATAAAATTATATTTCATAGTAAATTCTAATTTTTTACGACTAATAATTTCAGGTATTAAAAAATTATGAATTTGAGATTTTAATTTCTTTTCATCAATAAAATTATTATTATCATCATTAGGTCTAATTTGAAAAACATTCCA